CGCGACCCCCGCCCCCGCCAATGTCTTTCGCACCAGATATAGGACCCACGAAATTAGTACGGGGAGCACGTACACTTCCCGCCCAGCGGGAAACCACAGCCCCATCTGCCCAGGCAGTGGCACTGAGGGAGCACCGGCTCTGACTCCACTGCTTGCCAGGCCGCAGGCATCTGCAGCCGCAGCCCTGGCCTGGGGCACAGCTGGACACCACCCACGACGTTAGTCCTGGGCCCGAGTCTGAAGGGGCAGTGATTGAGGTGACAGAGGGCAGAAAAAAAGGAAGTGAAAAGCCCGCCCGCACAGGAACCAGGACTGGAGAGAGAGACAGAAACGAATTATAAAACTCTCAGCATAGGAAGGTAAGGTTCCATTTCTCACCATAATCCAGGCCAGGATTTCCTTCTGCTGTTTCTCCATGTGAGTGCTGCAGCTTCAGAGATTATGAGAAGGGATGCTTTCCAGCTTTCTAGAGCCATTTCTTCTCCTATTGAATTCCCAGCTGAGTTGCAATCCGTTATTGGTGCAGTGTCCTCTATGTCCCCCACTGTTACTGGTGGAAGTGGGCTTCTTGGGGTGCCGCTGGAACAATAATTTCCTGAGGCCCACATCAGAGGATCAGTTACCATTGAAAGCTTTATGGATGAGGTAACATTAAGAGACTTCCCTTCCAAAATACCATCTCCCTCCATCCCGCCATGAAAAAATCCAATGTTTTCTTCAGCAGAGGTAGGATTAAAGCTACTGCCAGAGTTGCCACTCCTCACCAAAGCACAGTCTGAGAGACCAGTCGGGAGCTGAAAACCAGGATAACAGGCTTTATTAGGGGAAAGAGACCTGTCAGGCTGTCTCACAATGGGAGAACAGCAACCGGTGCAGAGGTGAGCACGCCTTTTGAGGGGGAGAATGGGAAGGTATGGGGGCTTAGTGTACTCGGCTTGCGCTGATTGGTGGCTTAATGTATGGTCCATATAGGAACAAGGGCTTAGGATATTTGGCAGGTGTTGATTGGTGGCTCAATGTATAGTCCATAGAAGGTACATGGTTAGTCACTCAGGTATTTCCGGGCTGCAGGTTATGTCACACTCAGGCCACCAGTTGGGGGAAGGGAGGATCTATCACAGTCCAGTCCAGCTAGCTTAGCATGTGTTCCCAGCTGCAGTCCATTGTGTGTGGGGTCTGCACGACCATGGGCCATGCGGCTCTTTAAAGGCACATGGCAGGCTAGCACAGGGGTCACAGAGCAAGCGAGAAACAGGAGCAAAAGAGCCAAGAGGAAGAAGAGAGAGAGAATTCAATGGGGATTTTAATTAGGAGCTTATCCAATGAATCCTTCTGGGTTTTGAGAACTTGCAATAGCACCACCCCCCTCTAGCCAATTATCTTTTTCCCAGGTTCAACTGACCAGAAAGCACCTTCCTTCCATCATCCCAACTTCACGGCATGTGTATCCATCTCCCTCTTCGTTGGACCCCTTACCCCAGAGATTTGCAGGGAATGGACCAGTGGTTCCCTGGGGAGTGTAAAGTTACAGCTTCCTGGTGAAGCTGCCTAGATGAACATGCTTATAATGTCTGGCCTTCCCTTTGCTTCCTACCTGTTAATTAACACTAATAACTAGCTGGTTTTGATGGTAACAATTATTCCTTGGGAAGTCATGGTAATCATCAACTTTTCTTACTCTTTTTAGTGGTTTTTATTCCAATCATCAGAGCATACTAGATATGTTCACATCATAGGTAATATCATGAGCACTTACTATCTGCCAGGCACTGTGCACTTTACCTACTTTATGCCTTGAAATTTAGACAAAAACCCCAGGTTTGTAGGGGTGGATGATTACCTATCAGCTAGATGTACTAACTTTATAGATGATGAATCTGTGACTTGGAGTAAAAAAAGGGATTTCTGTTTCTAGAAACCAAGTCCTTAAGTACTAAGCCGTACTGCCTTGGGTCTTAGAGAACTGATCACCCTGGATGTCAGAGTTTTCACTCGCCTCTTCTCTCCCTTTTTATTCTCTTCCCAAAACGTAAGGCAACATCAAAAGGTGTTTCTGAGAATGCTGGTGCACCTATGATTAAGAGCAATATTATTTCAATGAATGAATGTGTTCATCAGACTATCCTGCATGTAAAAGACTGAAAACAAACACATGCACAAAAAATATTTCTAAGATATAGTTGACTGTAATAAATAAAAGAACTATTTATTTTACCCACAATATGCATTTATACAGGAAAAGCAGAGGAATTGCAATTTGGAACAAGCAAATTATGATGGGCCATAGGCAAGTCTGGAGAACAGAAAAGAGGCAAGGAGGAACCTGGGAAGGATCATTTTGAAGAGTTCAGTGTAGTAATGGCCTCTTATTGGCTGGGCTGTTGCTGGGCAAAGGGAAGTTCTTTCTTCTTCTGGAGTATGTAAAGTAAGCATCCTCCTGTTTGGTGTCTGAGTGATAGTGTGTGCGTTCCCTCCTTCATTTTCTTTTTTTAAAAAAATAAATTTTTATTGATTTCAGAGAGAAAGGGAGAGGGAGAGATATAAACATCAATGGTGAGAAAGAATCATTGATTGGCTGCCTCCTGCACAACCCTCCACTCACCCACTGGAGATCAAGCCCACAACCTGGGCATGTGTCCTGACTGGGAATTGAACCATGACCTCCTGGTTCATAGGTGGCACTCAATCACTGAATAATACCAGCCAGCCCCCTTCTTCATTTTAAATGAGGTTTCCTTTATTTATTTTCACAATATTCTCAACACAGTTACCAGAGTGGTCTTTTTAAACTTGTCAGACTATCTCACTGTTCTCTTAAAGTCCTCGAGTGTAACCCTTCAATGTCTCCTTATCTCACCCAGAATAATGGTCTGTGGGGTTCCATATGATATACCCCTGTTATTTCATGTCATAGTTTCTTGTATTTTCTTAGCCAAACCTTTGTCTTCCTTTTCCATCCAGTCATCCCACTCACTCACTTCCCTTTCAGAGCTTTATCCCATTTTGGTTCCTTCCCTTTATGCCACAGGTTGAAAGATCATCTCTGAAACACCCAATCTATTTGTCATCACTGTCAGTACTCTTCTCCGTCTGTCTATACTGAAGCAGAGTTTCCCTCTCAAAGCCCAAGAGATGGGAAATATTTACACTTGGAAAATTTTCATATTTGGAAACAAAGGTGTCACTATAACGGAATATGCCTGATGAGGTTTCATTCTATAAAATGATGGTGGAAAGATTTGCTTAGAATTGTGCATTTATTCCATTTTAGGAGTCTTGCAAATTGAAAACTATATTTTAAAAACAACATAAATCCCAAGTCTAACTTTTGGGGATATTTACAGCTTATTTAATAAAAAAGAAACATGCAAATTGACGGTACCTCTGTGACACCCACAAGCCATGCCCACAAGCCAATCAGGAGCAAGTATGCAAATAAACCCAACCAAGATGGTGGTGGCCACAGAGCTGGAGCAAACAGGAGGCTTGGGTTGCCCCTGATGATGGAGGAAGCCAAGCTTCCTACCTGCCCTGGCCGGCCATGGGCTCTGCTCAAGGTTACAAAGTTTCAATTATAGAAGATAAATAAATCCCAAATACCCGCTTCCAGCTGCTGTGGCCTCTGCTCAAGGAGGGGCTGGGGATCCTGAGTTGCCTGGGGCTATGACCAGCTGGGCAACAGCCATCAGCCTCTCACCGAGGCTGGCCACGCCTCCCAGTGGGGACCCCTACCCTGAGGGGGTGTGGCTAGCCTGAAAATGGCCCTCAGCCCCTCACCCAGACTGGCCATATCCCCATGGGGTGAGGGTCCCCGCTGGGGGGCTTGGCCAGCCTACAAGCAGCCATCAGCCTCTCACCCTAGTGGGGACCTCCACCCTGAATGGGGTGCGGCCATCCTGCAAACAGCCATCAGCTCCTCACCAAGCTTGGCCAGGCACCCCAGTGGGGACCCCCACCCTGAAAGGGGTGTGGCCAGCATGCAAACAGCCATCAGCCCCTAACCCAGGCTGGCCACCCCCCACCCCCAGTGGGGACCCTCACCCCATGGGGGCGTGGCTGGTCTGCAAACCACCACAGGCCCCTCGCCCAGGCTACCCCATGCCCCAAGGGAACCCCCACCCTGATCTGGGACACCCTTCAAGGCAAACCAGCTGGCCCCGACCCATGCACCAGGCCTCTATCTATATTAATAAAAGGGGACTGCGTTCGCGCTCTCCCCTGAAAAAGAAAAGGGGGGGGAATATGCTAATTAGACTGGGAGACCTTCCAGAAGACCTTCCAGACATTCTTCTGGACAAAGTCATGGTGATGGGGCCAAGGTAGAGGCAGCTAGAGTCCAAGAGTTGTGAGCAGTTGTGGGTGATCAGGCTGTTGCGGGGCGGGGCTGTTGTGGGTAAGCAGATCAGCAGGGGGGCCAGTTGGGGGCAAGCAGGCCATTAGTGGGAGTCAGTTGGAGGTTATCAGGACAGCGGGGGGGGGCAGTTTCGAGTGAGCAGGCCAGCAGGGGAGCAGTTGGGGGTGAGCAGAGTAGTGGGGAGGGAAAGGGGGGGCAAGGAGGCTGGCAGCGGGCGGCAGTTAGGGGCAAGCAGGCCGGCAGACAGAGTGGTTAGGGGCAATCAAGCAGGCAGGCAGGCAGGTGAGCAGTTAGGAGCCAGCAGTCCCGGATTGTGAGAGGGATGTCTGACTGCTGGTTTAGGCCCGATCCCTGTAAACTGGCAGTAGGACATCTTTCGAGGGGGCTCAGATTGGAGAGGGTGCAGGCCGGGCTGAGGAACACCCCCTCCCCTGTGCACGAATTTTGTGCACTGGGTCATTAGTTTATTTAATAAGAATCATTGAATAAAGTGAGAGGCAATGAGTGTAACAAATTTGGGGGAAATTTCTAAAGAACACAGAATGTAATAAATGTGATAAATGTGTCCAAGACTCACACTAATGAAAAGGCATAAGAATATAATTAGTATTAAAATGTGCCCCCTATAGAAGTCACAAAAACATTGCCTTACAAATGGGTGAGTAAAAGCTGATGTCAAAATGGAATCTTATTCTCAAAGAACTCATATTGGAGAGAAATACTGTGATTATAGTGTAGAAAAGTCTTCAATCCAGATCCTATTTCCACTGGAACATATAATTCATACTGGGGAGAAATCATTAGAAGCCAATGAATGTGAGAGGGCCTACAAGTATAGCTTAGCTTTTATTCAACATAAAAGAAACTATGCAGGTAGAATACTTATAAATTCTAAAAATTTGAAAAAACTTTATTTAGGAGTTCAAATTGATTGATTGGACACCATACAATGTACATAGGGGAACACTTTCAGGGAATTGTGAACTCCACTGAGCATCAAAGAAATCATCAAAGGGAGAGAACTTATGTAGACATGGAATGTGGGAAAGCCCTCTTCCAGAAGTCAAACCTTTGAATACATTGGAGAATTCAGAAAGGGACCACATAAGTATACTAAATATGATAATGCCTTTAGGAATAGAGGATGTCCACTGCACACAGAATGGCTCATGCTATTGAATCATGGACAGTGGATTAATGTGAGAAGTTTGCATAGAAGAAGACAGAACTCACTGTGCATCACAGACTTTATGTCAGAGACAGGTAGTAATGAATGTGGGGAGTGTGGAAGTTTTCGGCAGGAAGCCAGGACTCTACTTCACATCATAGATTATATAGGGAGAATTCCTTCAAATGTGGTAAAGCTTTTACTAAGAAATCATCTGAACTTTTGAGTCATAGAGTTCAGAATGGGGACAACCATTCCTTGATACAAAAAAATGTAACAAATGTGGAAAAATTTTCAACTAGAAATCAAGATTTATAGCACACTAGAGAATTCAGACTGGGAGAAACACCAAGAAAACGGTACATGCAGGAAGACCTTCATTTGGAGAGCAGAACTCATTGACTCTCTACAAGGTCATATAGGAGAAAAAAAAAACTATAAAAGCACTACTATGGAAAAATCTTCAGCAAGAAAACACAATTCATTACACAAAAGAAAACCCACACAGGGAAGTAACTCTATGAAATAACAAATTTGGGAAATCATTCAATAATATATAAAACTTCATAATTAACAATGCAGAGAAACAAACCCTGGGAATGCAACATGTGTGAGAAAGGAGAATCTGTATGCTT